CACACACACACACAGACAGACAGACAGACAGACACACACACACACTTAGTTTTCTTGGTGTGGTTTATGCATCACTTGAAATTTCAAAGAATTTCTACATTTTTTAATTAATAAAAAAAGAGTAAATGCAGTAATAATATGGCAACACACACAGACAGACACACACACACACACACACACACACACAACAGACAGACAGACAGACAGACACACACACTTAGTTTTCTTGGTGTGGTTTATGCATCACTTGAAATTTCAAAGAATTTCTACATTTTTTAATTAATAAAAAAAGAGTAAATGCAGTAATAATATGGCAACATTCAAAATTGTTGCTGTTACACTCTAACACTGCATTGTTGCACACTGTATTGCTTTGCTAACCTGGGTTGCCAGATCTGAGTAAAAAAAAACAGCCCAATGACCCAAAAATATCAAAATCTAAAATATATTTATTTTTGCAATCACTGTTATGCAGTACAAACAATTTTAAATTGAAAACCACTGTACAGACTAGTTGTAATCATAAAAACTGTCTATATTCATAAAGAAGCTCAAAGGCTCTCCACCAGTGGCCTTTCCCCCTCACAAAACTCATGATCCGGCACAGTTTTAGCATTGGTAGATTGTAAAATGGGTAAAAAAAATTAAATACAAGCATTTCAGTCAAATACAGTTTATGAAATATATCAAACTTTTAACCTACAGGGAAAAAAAGAAACCGCCAGCAGCAACAGTTTAAAAGGAGCCCAATTCAACAGGAAAACCACAGACTTGGCAACCCTGGTGCTAACCCTGCTCCGGAGCAATCAGGGTTTAGAGAGACAATAAGCCAAGGTTAAACTGTGAAAAGCCCAAAAACTGGAAGTCGACTATCCATTATTCAGCTGTCAGGGGTTTAACTGGCTACTCATTCAGTCATCAGAGTTAACCAGCAGAAAACAACATGGCATTAGTTCATCCAAAAATGAAAATTCAGTCATCATTTACCATTACCTAGGAACAGCACCACAGAGGAAATTCTCAGGTTGTATTTATATTCAGTGCTGCGGGATTTGAACGTCCTTTAGGGTTTTCTGCACTTTTTTTCTTTTCTGTTTTATTCCTCGTCAGAATTACTTGCAGTTGGCCTTGAGTTAGAATTAATTTTTTTCTTAATTAATTAATCCCCCCCCCTCCCTAGTTAGCCTAAAGCCAAACTGTCTTGTGGTTAACATGAGGATGTGTAAGCATGCATTAACACAGCCGCACTCGGTGCATGATGCAATAAAGGTGCAATTAACAAAAATGATACAAGGCTTCTTCATGCAGAAGCATGATGGACACATAACCAATCTAGATGTGTGGGAAATGATCATGTAAGGTCTTAATGTGAAGTCAAAACTTCAAAGCCCAAGAAAGGTGTTCTGTGCACTGTGCACTCCTATGCACTGTAAAAAAATTAGTTATAACAACGTAACATTTGTTGATGACTTAAACATCCAACTTAACAAAATTTAACTAAACCTATAATTTTAAGTCAAGCACAAACACTTTTTGTTGTTGTTGAAAGCGCATTATTACTGAATTTTAAGTTAAGTAGCAATAATTTTTCACAGTGTGCCAATTTGTAACTATTTCATGTTTTGTCGAATTTGTAGATAATTCATATGAAATTGTACTATTACGTTTCCGTACGATCTGTTGACGCCCCACTGAAGGTTAGCTTCAGGAGTGAACTCTCATGCTTACTATTTTTCTGAAAGTCTTAAGTTTCCACACAGATCACTTTCTGGGGGGCATCTCGTCAAGCTTTATTTGATTATTTAATTACTGTGTTTGTTAGAGAAGCATGAGATGTTGGTGACTTTTGGAGTCTGCCAGCATTGACCTTTTTATATTTAATATTGTCTAAATAATAGCAGAACAGATGGTAGCAAGTAATATCGGATCTTAATTAATGCTTTTTTCCCTAATTTAATTTATCTTTAAGAATAATTTTCTACACCAGCATTCTGGAGTATTAAACTGTATCCATCATTTGTACTGTGCCTGATTTTACCTGAATAATGTAAAATTGTAGATTTGGTGCATTATATAAATGTTGTGTATGCACAAAAGTGGGTCCCCAAACATATTGGTAGCTATACAATTAAATTTGCCATAAAATGCGTGCCCTATCCATGCACTATGCACTGGATTATGCATGTTATTCCTCTTTTCCTGGTAATATATCTATGTGAAACTGAACAATGACAGAAAACTGACTTTTTATGATAAATTGGGTAATTTCAGAAAATTCGCCATAAAATAGACTTAAAGGGATAGTTCACCCAAAATGAAAATTTGCTGTTAATGTACTTATCCCCAGGCCATCCCACATGTAGGTGACGTTTGTCTTTAATAGAACAGTAAAGAAGATTTTTAGCTGAGACTATGGTCTTTGGTGGTTCATAAAATGCAAGTCAATGGCTACCGTCATTTTAAGAGTCAAAAAAAGCATATCAGAATGAATACCCGTGGCTCCTGACGATATATTGAGGTCTTATGAAGTGAAACGATCAGTCTGTGCAAGAAACTGAATATCATTTACAACATTATTACCTGTAATCCAGAGGGTGAGTAAATTAACAGCAAATTTTCATTTTGGGGTGAACTATCCCTTTAAGTGACTTGGCTTGATGGGGAGCATTTTATTGTGCTGATAGTGTACTGTACTCTAGTATGCTATCAGTCAGCATTGTAAAAGCCTCTCTGATAATTTTTGTCCATTCATTCTGTTCAATTTTGTTTGGTGCTTCAGGTGTAACAATCGGACGCAGTGTGTTGTCATCACTGGCTCGGATGTCTTTCCAGATCCATGTCCTGGGACGTACAAGTATCTTGAGGTCCAGTATGAATGTGTGCCATACAGTAAGTGATCTTACAAATATTCTGAATTACTGCACATGATAGCAAAGAATAATAATAATAATAACAATAACAATTTTATCTTTAATTTACTGTAAATTGTTTGCAACATAGTAGAACCGCAAAATGCTGAAATGTAACATTATGGAATTTGGTATGGTATATAATGTTTAAGTTGTGTGTGTGTGTGTGTGTGTGTGTGTGTGTGTGTGTGTGTGTGTGTTTTTTTTTTTTAAAAAAAAAAAAAAAAAAAAAAAATAATTTTTA